TATATTTTTTTTTTTTCCTTTTATTGCTGATTGGCTGGGACAAAATCACGTGTCTGTTGATCAGCTTTGATTGATATTTTTATAATGTCATTGCTGTTATATGATATACAGTGACATTACAACACACAAAAAAGATACACACAGCAACATAATGAAACCCCCTCACCACCCCAAAACAAAAAAAAGTTAAGTTCCCAGAAATGAAAACCATCTTTAAAGTTACAGTAAGGAAGTTGTGGTTCATCCTACCGTAAGTCCAAAGCTTCGTGGCTTTCTTTTCTGCCGAAGCATCAAATCACACTGCCCAACAATTCAATTCTTTTATCTATTTATTTATTTACTGTTATTATTTCTTTTTTTTCCCCCCCCAATCAGAGATGCAAGTAAAATTCTAAATTTTTTTTTGGAGCAGGTTTTCAGAACGACATAGGTATCAATTAAGAGTGTATGGTGAAGTCCATATTGCGCAAGCTTTTATAGTTACACCCAAAAAAACAAAAATCTCTTTTTTTGGGTGTAACTATAAAAGCTTGCGCAATATGGACTTCACCATACACTCTTAATTGATACCTATGTCGTTCTGAAAACTTGCTCCAAAAACTAATCTCGAATTTTAAAATTATTTTGAAATAATCTGTGTCAAAAATACATTTAGATACGCATAAAACCATTTCAGATTACAATTTGCAAGTCTGGTTGTGGATGAGAAGTGCGAAATTGACGGGAAATTGCCTTGTAAATTTTCATTTCACCTGCTTGGTGCACCAGTCAGGACACCAACAGTGCTGAGTGCTACATAGAGTTCTATTTTTTGCATGTTATGTTTATTTTCACAAATTTATTGTCACCAGAGCATCCAATTCCTGTGGAAAAATAATAATAAAATTTAAATCTGAGAATGTTTATTTTTTCCCCCATTTACTTGATGGGGTTTTGTGAGTGGATAATTCTGGGAATAGTGGAAGATGGAAAGTCATTCCTAACATTCTGAAATTTGGTGATTCTTTTGAAGTAGAAAATAATTTGGTTGAAAAACGTGGCAAAAAAATGCCAGTGATAAAATTCATTTCAAACAATGAACAATTGTCATCCCCCCCCCCCCCCCCCCCCCCCCCCCCCAGAGAACTGCCCATGAATCACATACCATACAAGGGTGTAGTGGGCGGGGCCTGTCCTCCAGCCTTGAGTTCACCTGTCAGCCTTCCTCTTGCTCACCCAATCTGCAGTTGTGAAGACCGAGAAAAGATGAATCAGCAAAATGATCTGCCACAAGCTCAAACAGGCTCACTGACAAATGTAGAAAAAAAAAGCGCATGTGAGACAGCAAAAATGTCATCAAGTGACTCGCAGGTCCGTGTTTCCTGAACGCAACATAGCTGCTCTGCCATTGGCTATTACCAAGCATCATGTTGGTATCCCATTGGCTAAGAGGGGACTATACCGTATGCGTCATTGTATGTAGATGGATAAATAGATTGATATGTATTCATGCAAGGTCCTTGTGATTCACCCCTCGGGCCAAGAGGCGTTCCGATAGTTTTACGTAAACGGGAATCACCCAGAAAAAGTGTTCACCAGTCAGGCAATCGCTCACTATGCTGATGTCTGCCTTGGACATTTTTAAAGGATTGTTAAAAGCCGACAAAAGCAAACGTCCTTGGATCAGTTCTTTCCAAAACGCCAGGCAAAAACCACTTCTGATAGAGAACATGGACTAAAAAGGGCAAAGAACTACGAGAATGCAGTTAAAAGTGAAATGACCATTATTTTTAGTTTTTTCCTTTATTCTTTTTTTTTTTTTTTTTTTACATTATGCATAACTATCTATCATTTATTGTGCAATAATCTAATTGTAACATGCATTTGTTACATATTTTGATACATTTTATGCTTTAGGAAACATTTATGTCTGAATTTTGGGTGGGCTTGGAACGGATTAGGGCATTAACATGGAAAACGTGTCTCGACTTACAAAATTTCTTCCAGAACCAGTTAATTTCATAAGTAGAGGTGCCACTGTACTTTCATAAAAGATTGATTCAAAGCACATTTATAAGGAAGTGGCTCTTGTGTCATGAAGCTCCCGAAAAGCCATTGAGTCATAGCTGTGATTCTGCGGCGAGAAGAAATCATGTCACCCACGGCTGAACAAAATCCATATTAGGTGCTAAAAAAATAAAATAAAATATCCAGCGCCGTACTCATCACAGAAATTCAGGTACTTTCCACGCAAGCAAGTGACATCACACATCAACGCAGTCCATTTGTCAACATTTTCAGTTTACATCCATTATTTTATTCATGCGGTGAAAATTTCAGAACAGTATTTGACTTCGGCTTCTGTTATACTGATAGAGAGTGAAAACGTGCTAAAGGAAGAAAAAAAAGAGAGAAGAAAAACAAAAGGTGAGTTATTTCCATTACAGATTTCCCACAAGGTTGTTTTTACAAGCTGTCAAAATGAGCCTCCCAACCTCATTGTGTGTCTTACTGGAAACGTTTCGTGAATGCGGTGAAACGTTCGTGCCATGTGTGAGGCTTTAGCGGTCGCTGAGGTTCATTTGCTTTTCTGCTCCTGGCGCTGCCGCCCCCCCCCCCCCCACCCCCCCCCCGGGCCCGTTTTTGCCTGGGCACGTTTTTCATTTTGGTTTTGTTTCGCGCCTGCTCGCGTCTTCCCACAAGAAGCCATGTCGCCAGCCGAGCGGGTGTGGCCCGGCATGACACATTCCCGCTGGAAGATTTGGTCTCTTTTTTTTTTTTTTCGTCTGTATCCACCAAAAGATTTCAAACAGCAGATGTTTCACTTTGATGCACCGCCAGTGTTCTCTTGTACTCATTGAAAAACAAATGAGATGAAAGTACTGGTTGATTTGATGCCATCGCCATCGAATTAAAAAGAAAAAAAATAAATAAATAAAAGGATTTTCTAGAAAACACCTTTAGAAGAATTTTCGCTCATTTTTCAAGATTTAAAAAAAAAAAATCAATTCTGGGGAAAATTTCTTGAATTAAAAAAAAAGTAGTAAGCTTATATTCTTGTCACAGCTTTTGTTTTTCCAAGAAATGTTGATAGTTTAAACCAGGGATGCCCAAACTATTTTGACCATAGATCTACTTTTCGATCAACCAACCTCCCGTGATCGACCCGTTAGCACGCATGCGCGCACACACGTACACACGCATGCCATGATGAGCACCAGCCTGACGCTGAGGCATGCGACGCACTTCGGCAGCCTGTTAACGATCGTAGCTCCCGCGTACGGTTTTAAAATGCTCCCCTCGCCCCTCCAGATTCCCATTCTTTGCCCGTCCCCCTCAGTGAATTGTACGAAACAAACTCTGAATGGGAATAATGACAACGATAAAAGATTAGTGCAACAACTCTGATCACAAATTCGAAGTGAATGATCATTTTTGCTAAAAACAAAGTTCATCAGTTTGAACATTAAATATGCCGTCTTTGTCGTGTACTCAGTTCAATACGGCTTGAACATGATTTAAATAAATGCATTGTGCTTTTTTTTTTTTTTTTTAAACACAACACAATGTCCCAGCTTCATTGAAATTGGGTTTGTATTTGCCAAAGTGAAAGCAGGTTCAATGTTGCAAGTAACTGTCAACAATTGCAAGTCTGTCATGACGAGGCGGCTCCCGTTTGGTGTAATTATGCCAGCAACTGCCTCGTTTGTCACAACATCTTGTCCGCGGCATTCCGTAGATTTGTCCTGTATAAGTGTTTCTCGCAAGGAATGAAGTACAAAGGTCATAATAATCTGCCTGCATCGCATCAAAGACATTACACAACAAATCAGAGATAGAAAAAAAAAAAAACAAAAAACAAAAAAAACTGGCTGGTTCTCTCGTTGTCATCTCCAACAGGAACAAGGCCAAGTTGTCATTTCGCGCTTGTTTTTATTTGACTCACAGACGATTGAAAATGTCCAAAAGGCGCCAAAAGGCAAAGGTGAAAGGGGACTTCACAGTCAAAGAAATACTTAGTAACACTCAAACCTCAGAAAAGGAAACTAAGAAACTCTCAACGGCCCAAATATCACGTTGGCGTTCTCGTCAGTATTAACATCCAACATTGCCATCTTTGTAATTTGACGTGTTTTTAAAGCACTTTGAATTGAATGCTACGCTACAAATTCACTTGCCTTGCCTCCGAATAGTCCAGAAAAACAACAACACATAAAAGCAGTTCACACCGACCAAGATATGTTTCAAATGTTTCTTTTTTTTTTTTTTTTTTTTTAGCCTTTTAGATCTTTGTTTAACATTATACTATTATTAGTAGTAGTTGTAATAGTAGTAGTAGTAGTAGCAATAGTAGTAGTAGTAATATTATTCTCACCATCATCATCATTATCAACATCACTATAATTCAGTAGCGCAACCCTTGTTAACTGTTGAAACATTTTCTCTATTGTTTGAACAAGGCTTGGATGCACATTGGACAATTTCCTTTGTGTGTGTGTGTGTGTGTGTGTGCGTCCAACCGAGGGTGTGCTTTTGCTTTTGAGACATGCCCGGACGTATTCTCAGTCACTCAGTCAGTCAGTCAGTAAGCCAGCGGTGCACAGTGCAAAAAGGCTCGCACAACAAATAAAAGGAGGGCGGCGAGTATTATCGAGTATGCAATGTTGCAACACCACACTGTCTTAAAAAAAAAAAAAAAAAAAAAAAAACAGGGCATTTGTGTTTGTCTAAATGGTTTGTGTGTGTCCTTGCAGCCTGGAAAGTGCTTCTTATCAAAGGCTAATGATCATGATTGCAGTGAACCTGTGTGCTTTTGCGCATGGCTCCTTGGGACATTTTTGTGGGTTTACTCATGATAGACGCGCGTATGAAGCAATACTCGGGAGCTGAATTAAAATTTCTTTTTGACTAAATAGACATTTTCACCATGGTGAGCAAGCCGATACAATTTGGTGAGTTGGAATGCCCTCAAAATGGCCATTAGTTAGGCCGCTGTTGGCAAATATGTGCGATTCTCAAAATAAGAATTAAAAACACATAATGCATGCATATAAGACTATTTTGATTTAACGGTTTTTGCATTTAGTTTCTTTAGATGGAAACTGAGGAGAAAGAAAAGTTTTGAGTATGACCTTGGGACCCCAAAATTGACCAAAACTGACCCGGAAATGGCGAGCTTCGAACCAAAATGGCAGACTTGCTGCAGCTTATCGAGGCTTTTTTTTTTTTTTTTTGTGGGTCGGCTCATGATGATCACAGAGAGTAAATTTCACTTTGCAAAGTCAAACCAGGTTCAGGAGCTGCAAGGGTCAAGTTTGTCTTTGAAGGACTCCTTGAAAATTGCCAAATTGACCCTGATGAGGCTGCTTCAAAGGAAAACGGCAGACTTCCTGTTGACTTTACGACATTCCTCCTTGAGACTTGTTTGTCTGGGACTACTCATGACAGACATGTCTCCCGAAATTCCATGCCGCTAAGTGAATTTAATTTCCAGGTCAGTTTGGCAATAGGAGAAGTATGTCCACACCTCCCTCCGAAACTAAAATGGCTGCTTCACACCCGAAAAAAAAAAAAAAAAAAAAAGAAGACTTCCCATGTAATTTTCACCGCGGCATTTTTGGTTAATCTACTCACGATACATAGACCAAACAAATGTCATGTTGCTGGTCAAAATTGGACTGCGGGGTTGAATTTGGAACTCATGAGAATAAGAAAGCTCTCAAAAGAGTCAATTTATTTGGTTTGAGGCCTGTGACTGCCCATTTAGCCCTCAAAACAGAATTTAGCACGATGATACATTTGGACTGAAACTAAAACAGAAAGACAATTTTTAGGACAGCGCAAGCAGGTGGCAGACACACGTGAGGCGCTTTTCTTTCTTATCCTCCTCATCACCTGGGCAGTGAGTCACATCTTTGTGGTACACTAACTTGAGTTGCTACTCCCGTCTACTTTCTACTTCCTATATTACTTTCACGCCTTCCCATACTCGTCAAAAAACAAAAAACAAAAAAAAACTTGTGCATTTTGTATTGTATTCTATGCACTTTTCATATATGCGATTTCACTTTTTTTTTTTTTTTTCAACTGGAGTTGTTTTCTGTTTGCGAAAGGAAGGCACACATGTTTTGAGGTTACGTATTCAACGGAAATCTGGAGTAGCGCAAAGAGCAAGAAGGGCAGCGTGGTTAATGATTCAACCAACTCGACATAACAGTTTCATTTAATGGCAAGTGTTAGATAAGACACCACCACACTTATCATCTGAACAAAACAACCACCACCAGGAATGAACAATATGTTTTTTTACCCCTGATTCACATTTTTTTTTCTTCCACTAAATTAAGTGACAGAGTTTAGTTTTTAATGCAACAGGCAAGGTGACTGTATGTAAATAAATATCTGACTGAAAATGATTAAAAAAAAGAAATCACAAAATTCAGCCACAAATATCTACAGAGCATGAAATGTGGTAAACATTCCTGTCAATCGTCAGTAGACACGCTAAAAAAAAAAAAGTCTCAAGAGGCTATGCCTGAAAAGACCTAAGTCAGCCATTTTGTATGGAGCAGCCATTTTGTTTTGGGAGGGAGGGGGCGGGGTCTCATTTTGGCCATTTCCTTCAGAGACGTCAGTCAGAGCCAGTTCAAAGTGTGGTACAAGTACCAGTGGTGGCACGCCGGCTCCCTCTAGAGGTACGTGAAGAAATCACTGAATTAAACCGACAATATCAGTATTTCGGAAAGTCTTAGGGAGTATTTCATCATATTAAAAGTCATTAGGTACATTTTAGGAAGATGTATGAGTATCATGGTAACTTTTAGGGAGCATTAGCGTATATTTAAGCGTATTTAGGTACCTTGTAGGGCAGGGGTCAGCAACTGCGGCCCTCGGGGAGGCCCTGTCCTGCATATTTTAAATGTCACGCTCCTCCAACTTAGCTGATTCAAATGATCGGGATCGTTACAAGGCTTCTGCCGAGCTTGATGATGAGCTGATCATTTGAATTAGGTGCATTGAAGGAGGGAGACATCGAAAACATGCAGGATTGGGGCCCTCGAGGACCAGAGTTGTTGACCCGTGTTCCAGAAAGTATTTCGGGAGGTTAGTTGTAGTACTTAGTTGACTTTTTGGAAGTATTTGAGTACATCCGGGATTGTTTAGAGTAAAATGACCACTTAAACGTTTGTTAAGTTAGAACATTGCTTCCTGGTTCATTGAGGACAAAACAAGCAGACCAGCAGAACGATTGAAATTCCCGGAGGGAAATTTCCTTTGAAAATCAATCCCTGCACCAAATTTAAAGGCTTCTTCTTTTCACTCTACAGTGTTTTGTTTGATGTTGTCTGCATAATCCAGGACAGTGTTATTTTTCCACGTATTGTTACACAACAACCCATCATGACACCATTATTATTCTTCTTATTTATTTATTTATTTTTTTGCTTTAAAAACAAAACAAAAACTGTATATACAGCAGGTATTCACGGCGTTTGCTCAATAATTGGTTGTTACACCTTTTGCCGCAATTACAGCCACAAATCTTTTGGAATCTGACGCCACACCTATTTTGGGGCAGTTTCATGCTTGCTTTGTGCATTGTCGACTTTGAGACGAGGCGTGTCAAGGGGAATAAAAATAAATAAACAAGGCTGCACCTGAGCTCAAGTTTGAGTTCCTAAGAACTAAGAAATCACCTGTGTATTCTGTGGAGAGGTATTTACAGCTTTTGTTTAATACAAAAATTAATTACAAAAAAAAAACACATTCTTCATGGGATACGAGGCGTCGGATTTTGAGAGGGAAAAACATTTATGTAATCAACTTTTGAGGACCAAGTCAAGTGCCAGCCATGATTTCAGGATATACTTTATATGTCTTGCTACTTACTATGTCAACATGACTACTTGAAGCCAGTAATTTCCTCATAAAAGTACTTTACAACTTGACCTTTGCCCGCTGGACTATTACACATGTCGGCCATCTGACCAAGTTGTGCGTTTTCCTCCTTTGTTTTTCTACTGAAAATGTATACATTACATTATACACAATTAGCTTGAGATTTGAACAGTCATCATTTCCGACACAGCGACTCACTCACTCGCTCGCTCACTTCTGCTAAATGGCTGGAAATGAGAAACACGCAGAGCTTTATAGGCGGACAAATATAACTCGGCACCTTTCACACACATGCGCACAACACACACGCGCGCACACGCTCGCTTGTTTTTTTTTTGTTTTTTTTTTATGACATGCCGACCGTCCTGGTTCTTAAACAGCTGTGCTCTGTCGACATCATAATTAAATATAGGGGGCAAAAAAAACAATCAGAACGCTTTCACATGTAATGGAATTTTCCTGCAATAGTATTCATATATATA